GCCAAAAACTGAGAAAAACCATGCGTTCGAAAACCTTAAGACAGATCTTAAAAAAATTGTAACTTCGTTCAAAAAGCTCATACAAATTTTCTTTCTTGCTCACGCGTAGACGTTCCACGTAAGACATTTATCTATGCGGTTGCTGTATTTTTTGCTCAACTAGGCGATAAAAAAACGAAGTTTTTCATGTTTTTTTCCAAAACAATGCTGAGATGTTCTAGCACTGACAGTTGTATGCTATAGGACCTTAGAAGCGTGAATGTGAATTTTCAGCTCTTCAGAGCAGCTGGTTTACGAGAAATATCGGTTTTTTAGCAACTAGGCAAGAAAAACTTGGATAAGGAGAGCTGGATTCGTTATTTCTCGCGAACTAGCAGTTCTAGAAGGCTGAAAATGTAAAGTTTCACTGCTAACGGCATGTACTATAAAACTGTTAATACTAGAACTTCTCAGCACTAATTTGGCAAAAACATGAAAAACTTCAAAAAACTTCGTTTTTTCATCGCCTAGTTGAGAAAAAAATACAGCAACCGCATAGATAAATGTCTTACGTGGAACGTCTACGCGCGAGCAAGAAAGAAAATTTGTATGAGCTTTTTGAACGATGTTACAATTTTTTTAAGATCTGTCTTAAGGTTTTCGGACGCATGGTTTTTTTCAGTTTTTGGCTCAAAACTTCGCGTGGATCAAAGCTGGTGCAGATATTTGAGCACTATATTGTAGAGCTAGGTTTGCGCTATCAAATGATATATCGAATCCTACTTGGAATGTAGGATTACTCCGAGTTACTGCGGTCTGTACCTATTTTGGTGCAGGAATTATGCATCAACCTAATAGATGCCTTATGTGGACTGTGTTTAAGTGAGCAAGTTAGAATTTTCGTAGGATTTTCATGAGCTGAGTTACGATTTCCTCAATTTTTCGGACAGTTGAATCTTTTTAGTTTTTGGCTCGAAACTCGTGGTGGATCAGAGATGTTACTAAAGCAAAATAGCCATCTTGTAGAGCTTGCTTTGTTCTATCGAATGGTGTTTTGCATCCTACTTAGAAATGAGAAGCTTAATGACTTATTGCGGTTGTAATTCAAAACCTGCATTAATTTCCGGACAACCTAATACGTGGATTGCGTACTCAAGCACTTGGATACATCCATTTGAAAGAATACAATGTTGAAGTACTTGGATTGGTGCAAGTTTTCAACAAAAAAAATGAATCAGCGAAAATGCGAAAGCAAAAAAGCGCAAAAATGCTCAGTTTTATACACTCCATAACTATAACTTAAGAAGACTAGTTTCGACTGTCGTCTTTTTTTGAAGAAGTTCGATATTTGATTTTAGCGCATTTGAGAAACATGTATTTCTAGAACATCAAAGTTCGTAGTCTTTAGCTTCTGTGCGCTCGTACACATTGCACTATATTTGAAAATCGGATTGAAACAAGTCCCAGAAAGACAGTCAACGCGTCGAATTAATATTTAGTCTACGGTGAGGTTTGACCACTTCAACCTGCAGATCCGAATACAGCCCGAAAAATTATAAGAGTTAAATACAATGACTTTCTTATGCCGTACTTCTTTTTACATTGACACATTTCGCCGTCGTCGGAGGCCTAAAAGTAGTCTGTCACTATGATCTACGTTCTCTCCGACAAACTCCCTCCTCTACTTGCTTATTCGAATCGTCCTCTGTGAAAAAAAAAAGCTTGGAAGACGAGGTTCACTCACCTTTCTGTCACCAATGTAGCAGTGTGCTGACTGACTGCTGGGAACTTGCTCGATTGACTGCCAGTCGAGGATGAGCAGCGTTTATACTACAAGACCGCTTATATACCTGCAAATAAAGTGTGTCATCATAAAAACCTGTACGGCATAAGAAAGTCATTGTATTAACCATTGAAATGCCCAAGTTTCAAGATAAGTGTACATATGGTATATAAGAGCTGAAGTTGAATTTCTTCCACCTTCCTTCATATGGGGTCAACAGTTCTCCCAAGAATTTCAAAGCTTGACAAGCATTCACTATTACAACCAATTTTTGCATATTTATTACTTTGTGCGGTGATAATGTAGGTGAATAAACGTTGATTCATTTTATTGTGGGATTATCACCGAACGAGGCTCTCCGGTACCCCGTTTCCGCAAACCTCCAACAAATCTAGAATTCGTAGGTTATTGCTTCAGACGTTGTTGACGTATGCATATATGCGTTATTCTCTCATTGCATTGTTTCTGCAGATGGACCAGTGACTTTTGTCCATACTCCTACATGCAGAAATGAAGCCAGGGCTGTTGTTGCTTTTTGACTGGATTCCCAACCTTTGTCAGTTACGCTAGCAATGTTGATAATTGACAATACGATCAAGAAGATGGCCCTTTCGCACGACAGTATCCAGCTTCGCAAGGTGTGGTGCGCGCGAAAGCGGTGTATGGAAAGTCATTGTCGGAATTACTGTCGTGCGATTCGGCTTACGCGTCATTGTAGCTAGCTTATGACTAATATAAGTTGGTGCAAGAGCGTGTTGAAGTGAATTGAACAATAAAAGTGTTTTGTAGATTTATACGCTTAGCAATTACGAATCCGATCGACACACACGGGATCGGGAGAATGACTATACATATGCAAGTTCAGTACACTCTCGGGTTCCTAGTAGGTAGGCAGTGAGCAGAACTAGTCGATCCAGCGTTACTACAAAAGAATTCATGCTGAGGTGACGCCTGCGGAAAATTCTGAAAAATTGAGAATTTATGTTATGTGATGGCTACAAGAGCCTTGCACGAGGGTGATAAATGTCGATTTGCAATCCGTTTCGGAATAAAAGCGATGTGGATGACTCGGTTACACATACACGCATATACGTACTCTTCAATCATCCGCTTCATAAGGAACAGCACTACAACGCACGCTTTCTTTGTATCTAGCATCAAACAAACGACTTGTGCATAGCAGACAAGAATACGATATGGTATGGTCCTACATGGTCTTTCAATCTGAGGGACCCGTCGTACATCGCCGAAAAAAACCCAAAAGCACCCGAAAAAAACCCAAAAAAGCCCGAAAAAGCCCGAAAAGCCCGAAGGAGCCCGAAAGCGCCAGGATGAGCCGTAACGCAGAAACGAACTCCTGGTAGAATTATGACATTATTTTGATGTACAGACGGCAGAAAATGAACCAAAATCGACTCGGTTGCGAAACCAACACGCATGCCTTTGCGAACATGCGCGCGGAATGGGGCGTTCCGGCTCTTTCTGGCGCTTTTGGACTTTTTGGGACTTTTTTGGGCTTTTTCGGGCTTTTTTGGGCGCTTTTGGGCTTTTCTCGGCGAAGTATGACGGGCACCTGACTGTCACGGTCGGCGCGGCTTGCGTCTTTGCGATTATGTCGCTCGCCGCGTTCGCCCTCAGCGATTACGGTATTTTTCCCAAGCTTGAGGCTTGGGAAATACCGTATCCTTAAGCATCAATGGCTGACGAACTTGGGAAAATGCCCCGAACACCTTCGCAAATGCGACGAGCCTATGCGAGGCGGCTCGAGAAGACACCGGCCGCGCGGACCGTGACGCTCAGAGTGGAGGCCCCCTTACTCAATGGGAATATAAAGCAAGTTATGGCCACAAGGAAACTCACCTAAATTGATAGGCCAATTTTTTAAATTTAGGGTGGCGTTTTGGCACTTGCCTAATTTGACCTTGAGGGCGAAAGATTCTCCACTTCACACGTAGCTAACTACAAAACAAAAAATAGTCCCAAATTCCTTCCTTTGCTTTCTATGGAGGCGAAAAAACCAAGAACTCCCAGTTCTGAGAAAACACGCGTTCCAACTGAAGAAACTGCAGTGCAGCTAAAGCAAAAACTTCGATACAAAGTGCGAGGTCGTTCTTCAGGCGTACGTACTCATTCAAATGATTATTAGGAGAAAAGCCACTCATACAAATCGTAAAGTACCTCCGGAGAACAGCCGAAATGTGGCGCACTTCCGGAGGACGCTCTTAACCTTAGAGGGGCGGGCCGATGGTGACGTCACTCGCGCTGACGTCACCAGCGGCCGAGGAGGGCACTTACCGGAGGATTCTGCAAACCTGTGCTCCGGAGGTGCTCCAGATTTGGGAGACTCCCGGAGAACTGGCGCGCAGCCAATCTGCCCAGGACCACTTGCTCACACGCTACTCAGACACTCGCTGCAGCTGCTCAGATAATCGCCGGGGGCAGGCGGTCCGCAAACTCGCGCTTTTCTGCAAGCGGTCAGCAGAATTTTGGGGCGTGGCCAAACCTTCAGCGAGCGGTACTTCCTTTACTGTCTAATGTTCTGCCAGCGGGCAGTAACACAGAATTTTCTGCAGGCGCTCGTCAAATAATCTCTTTCAGCAAACGCTGGCCGAACTTTCAGCAGGCGCTCGGACTCTTTTTACGCAGTTTCGGGTATACGTCGAGCACAGGGAAGACTCTGTGTGGCAGAGGCGTCAGCGTAATTACTCAAGTTTGAGGTACTTTTTCTCAGCGGAAAGTACCTGGGGGCTGCGCGGTCCTCCATAAAGGACTGTGCGGCCCCCAGAAATTTTGCATATTCTCGCGGAAAGTCCGCGAGAATGCGGCCACTGCGCCGCAGCTAATCTATAAGGGAATCGCGATGTTCTCCAAGCGCTCGTCCAAAATTTCGCTAAAATTCCTCCAAATATCTGCAAGCGGATCGCAAGAAATCAGCGAACTATTTTTCCGGTGCCCGCACGCCCATAAATCGCATGGCCGCCTGCCCCCGGCGATTATCTGAGTGCGGGCGCGCCATAATAGCGCTACAGCTCAGATAATCGCCGGGGGCAGGCGGTCCGCAAACTCGCGCTTTTCTGCAAGCGGTCAGCAAAATTTTGGAGCGCGGCCAAACCTTCAGCGAGCGGTACTTCCCTATTCTGCCAGCGGGCAGCAATACAGAATTTTCTGCAAGCGCTCGTCAAATAATTTCTTTCAGCGAGCGCTGACTAAACTTTCAGCAAGCGCTCGGACTCCTTTCATGCACTTTCGTGCGTACGCCGAGCTAAGGTAAGACTCTACCTGGCAGAGGTGTCTTCGATGGTTTTATTACCCAAGTTTGGGGTACTTTCTCTCAACGGAAAGTACCTGAGGGCTGTGCGGTCCTCCACAAAGGACCGCGCGGCCCCCATCAATTTTGCATATTCTCGCGGAAAGTCCGCGAGAATGCGGCCAATGCGCCGCAACTAATCCATAAGAAAACCGCGACACTTCTCCGAGCATTTGTCAAAAAATTGAACAATATTCTTCCAAATTTCTGCAGGCGGAGCGCAAGAAATCTGCGAACTATCTTTCCGGTGCCCGCTTGCCCAAAAATCGCATGGCCGCCTGCCCCCGGCGATTATCTGAGAGTGCGAGCGGCGCGCCCTATTTGAGGCTGCCGTGCGAGCGGCGCGCTTTAATTGAAGCAGCAGTGCGAGCGGCGCGCCATAGTTAAGGCTGCAGTGCGAGCGGCGCGCCATCACTCGCAGCCAGCGAGCGGCGCGCCTACTCAGATAATCGCCGGGGCAGGCGGTCCGCAAACTCGCGCTTTTCTGCAGGCGGTCAGCAGAATTTTGGGGCGTGGCCAAACCTTCAGCGGGCGGTACTTTCGTCTTCTGCCAGCGGGCAGCAATACAAAATTTCCTGCAAGCGCTCCGCAAATAATTTCTTTCAGCGAGCGCTGGCCAAATTTTCAGCAAGCGCTCGGACTCTTTTTAGGCATTTTCGGGCGTACGTCGAGCGCAGGTAAGACTCTGTGTGGCAGAGGTGTCACCGTTGGTTTAGTTACTCAAGTTTGAGGTACTTTCTCTCAGCGGAAAGTACCTGAGGGTTGAGCGGTCCTCCACAAAGGACCGTGCGGCCCTCGAAATTTTTGCATATTCTCGCGGGAAGTCCGCGAGAATGCGGCCACTGCGCCGCAGCTAATCCATAAAGAAACCGCGATTGTTCTTCAAGCTTTCGTCTTTAATTTCGCCAACTTTCTTCCAAATTTCTGCAAGCGGGCCGCAAAAAATCAACGAACTATTTTTCCGGTGCCCGCCTGCCCATAAATCGCATCGCCGCTTGCCCCCGGCGATTATCTGAGTACTCGACACTCGGCGCGGCGGCGCGCGCGCCATTACAGCAATGTATTGCGAAGGGCGCGCCCTAGTTGAGAGGGCGAGCGGCGTGCAATTTATCAGTGAGCCGCGTGCCATGATATTTTCCGCATTCCCACATGATGTAAGCACAAGCGATACCTGCGTGAAGTACGACGCAGTGTTTTGGGTGCTTTATCACTAATTTATTGAGGTTATCGCTGTTTCGTAATGGAGTTGTCTCATTAACACAAGTGGGATTCTTCCAGTTCTTCCACTGAGAGTCATTCTCCATAAGCACTGCGAGTAGGTGCCGAGTTTGAACAAATTTGAAAATTTCAATTTTTGAATTTTTGAAATTTGAATCTCCAAATTTAAGGTTTGGAAACTTCCAAGTTCATGTTTGAAATCGAAGCCATTGTTTGCCTGAAATTGAAGGTTGTCAACAGGTCCACTACAGATTCACCGTGATTCGCAGTGCTTCAAATGCGAATGGCAATTTTCATACCGTGCGAGCGGCGTGCCATTATCGTGTGGCGCGCGTCGCATGTACTCACGTCGCGCGTTTCAATCACTCGCGCCATTTGACGACCAGCGGCGGGGGACATGAGGGGCCGCACGCATAAGGCGCGCGCGCCGCCGCAGCGAGTGTCTGAGTGGTTAGCGGTAGCGTCTCCTTGCTGATATTGATTGGTTTTGGCTATGGTCTTTCCTACAGCACTCGTTGATTATGCCTTTATCATCCTCATCCTTTGTATTCCATTACATCTTTGTTGCTCAGCTCTCATAGTAGCTTTTCAGTGTCTTCCACGTCTTCCATTAGCGTCGCTCTTTGCAAGCATCAACATCAACACGTTTTTTTAACACTCTTTTATTGTGTGCGGTTGCACTCTCCAACCTTTTGACAAGCACGGCCCTTGGACCATATCAGGGTAAGTGCCCCTTGACTTTATATGTCTTGTGAGGTACCAACTTTATTTTTTGTTGTTGTGGGGTTACTAGAAAGCTTCAACTTTTGCAAACGAAGTCAGGTATGGAATTTGGCTATTTCGTGTGAAAGCCCCATTTAACGGTTATATTGTTTATTTGTAATCTGATTGATTCCAGATGAAAAAAGTAATCATTTAGTGATTTTAGGCTCTACTAGATGTTGTGTGTGAATGTGCAGAACGGATATGGAATCATTCTAATATAAAGCATGCTTTGAAAGAAAGTCCAGTATTGTTTAGCCAAGGCTTTTTGGTACTGTAAGAATGTGCAGTTACATCACAGTCTCTTTCAGTTATTGATTGTTTGATGCTGTCAAACACCTTTTCAGACCTGACCTTTGCTTCTTCGAATCCGTTTCCCAGATTTGAACAAAACGGGTGATTTTTCTGACGACTTGCTTGACTATCTCATGGAGTTCTTGATTGATCCCAACACCTAAGGAACTGCTGATAGAGAAACTTTGCATGTAGGTGGGCAAATTATGGTTGGAGCTGGTCCTACCTCAATGAGCAGTTTTCATTTCAGGTCAAAATGCTTTTGAGATATACCAATCGGCTCATCCAAACTTTACCGTACGGAACTTTTTCAAGAATGCCGGGTTGAGTTGTTAGTTCGTTTCACTGTAGCGAAATGAGAGGATTTGATAAACAAGTTACAGGTTTTCATGTGAAGAAACAACGAAGCTTTGTTCGTTTGGTGGGCGACAGTTTGTTTGCTGCCAACTCCTGGATGCAAGGTAAATTAATTTAGGCAAATGTCAATGTAAGCATCAGCGCTTTGTTTGATCTCAATTCTAAATTTACCTTACATACTAAGGAGCCTAAATGTGAGATTTGTCAGAAAAAGATAATCTCTTTCGGACTGGACATGCAGTGTTCTGGAAAAGACTGGATGCTTACTTGTCATACTTGTTCTTATGTGTTTTGCGTTCATATCATGCCCTAGATGCGTTGATTATTTTGATGGATTATCAGGAATGCATGTGGTCTATGACGCTTCTTTAATGAAAAATTATTGTCAGAAATAGTTTGACCTCATCCTAAAATCAAAAAAACAACGGATAAGCGTTTTCAGTGTTGCTAAAGCACTGTCATAATGATATCGTTGTCGGTTGAAGTATGGTGACACTTGCACTGTTTTTTGCCATCTTATTACACTAGAGGAGCTGAAAGATGATTTTAAGATTGCAAATTGTACTAGATCTGGAGGAGCAGTTTGATGGAACAAGAGGTAAGTCAGCTCTTTTCATCTACTACCAACAAACCTTTATTGAACCTTGCTGCAAAAGAGACTACTCGCAGGACGTAAGGGGCGATGATGAGTTCAAGGATGAGCACTTTGGATATTGAAGTCAAGTGCATTTGCAATTTGCAGTAAATTGTTCCGTAGTTAATTTGAAATAAATGTCTCGTCTTGTCTTCATCCTTCTATCTTGCTATCTATAAACGCTGGGGTGAGAGGGAGGAGGTAGAAACGGGGTTGAGAGTCGCGCTGAAGTCGTACCTGGTGGAGGGGGGGGGGAGGGTCGCATCAGGCGGTCGTATGCCACACCGTCGTTTGGTCTAGAGATAATTTGAGTGGGGTTTAGGGGCATAATTAGGGCTTGAGCTTGATCACGGGCTAGTTACAGTATGCCGCGGGGGACTTCCGGAGCACCATTGTAGGCAGGATCCGGAGAACGAGTGGCCGACCTGCGGAGAGGGAGACCCCGGCGGCTACATATAATCGTCGAGGGCAGGCGGCCATGCGATTTATGGGCGGGTGGGCGCCGGGAAAATAGTTCGCTGATTTCTTGCGGTCCGCTTGTAGATATTTGGAAGAATTTTGGCGAAATTTTAGACGTATGCTTGAAGAACAATCGCGGTTTCCTGATAGATCAGCTGCGGCGCAGTGGCAGCAGAATTTTGGGGCGTGGCCAATCCTTCAGCGGGCGGCACTTCCTTTACGGTCGCATATTCTGCCAGCGGGCAGCAATACATCATTTTCTGCAAGCGCTCGGCAAATAATTTCTTTCAGCGAGCGCTGGCCAAACTTTCAGCAGGCGCTCGGACCCTTTTTACGCAATTTCGGGTATACGTCGAGCACAGGGAAGACTCTGTGTGGCAGAGGTGTCACCGTTGGTTTAGTTACTCAAGTTTGAGGTACTTTCTCTCAGCGGAAAGTACCTGGGGGCTGCGCGGTCCTCCACAAAGGACCGTGCGGTCCCCAAAAATCTTGCCCATTCTCGAGAATGCGGCCACTGCGCCGCAGCTAATCTATAAGGGAATCGCGATGTTCTCCAAGCATTCGTCTAAAATTTCGCTCAAACTCTTCCAAATATCTGCAAGCGGACCGCAAGAAATCAGCGAACTATTTTTCCGGTGCCCGCCCGCCCATAAATCGTATGGCCGCCTGCCCCCGGCGATTATCTGAGGGTGACACCTCCGCCACATAGAGTCTTACCTGTGCTCGACGTAAGCCCGAAACTGCGTAAAAAGAGTCCAAGCGCCTGCGAAAGGTTCGGCCAGCGTTTGCTGAAAGAGATTATTTGACGAGCGCCTGTAGAAAACTCTGTTGCTGCCCGCTGGCAGAACATTAGACAGTAAAGGAAGTACCGCTCGCTGAAGGTTTGGCCACGCCCCAAAATTCTGCTGACCGCGCCTGCAGAAAAGCGCGAGTTTGCGGACCGCCTGCCCCTGGCGATTATCTGAGTGCCCGTTTTGTCCTCCGGAGGCATCCCTTTGACTGTCTGAGCATGTTCTTTGTGATATATTTTGCTTTAAGATGCAACACTCTTACGATAGGTTTTTCGTTTGAGACTGATTCGTTAGACCAGGTGGGCAATTCATGGTGTTTGCAAGATAGCGAGTCATTTATTGTTAATGTCTAGTTTGAATCTATAATCCTCGTAGAGCTTCAAACCAAACTGCAAGGGAAACAAATCCCCTATCATTTTCAGCTGACTGTTAGGATTGCGGTAAGAGCTTGGCCTTTGCTCTTTTGAAAATTAAAAATGCACAAATAAAACCTGAAGGCTATACTAGTAAGTAAGTTCGAGTACTCAGATAATCGCCGGGGGCAGGCGGCCATGCGATTTATGGGCGGGCGGGCACCGGAAAAATAGTTCGCTGATTTTCTGCGGTCCGCTTGCAGATATTTGGAAGAATTTTAGCGAAATTTTGGACGAACGCTCGGAGGACAAACGCGGTTTCCTTACAGATTAGCTGCGGCGCAGCGGCCGCATTCTCGCGGAAAGTCCGCGGGAATATGCAAAATTTTCGAGGGCCGCACGGTCCTTTCTGGAGGACCGCGCAGCCCCCAGGTACTTTCCGCTGAGAGAAAGTACCTCAAACTTGAGTAATTAAACCAGCGATGACACCTCTGCTATGTAGAGTCTCACCTTTGCTCGGCGTACGCCCGAAACCGCTTATAAACCGTCCCGAGCGCCAGCTGAAAATTTGACCAGCGCTCGCCGAAAGAGATTATATGACGAGCGCCTGCAGAAAATTCTGTGTTGCTGCCGCTGGCAGAACATTAGACGGTAAAGGAAGTACCGCTCGCTGAAGGTTTTGGCCACGCCCAAAATTCTGCTGACCGCTTGCAGAAAAGCGCGAATTTGCGGACCGCCTGCCCCCGGCGATTATCTGAGTAGCTGTTTAGTTGCATGATTTGGTGGTATGGAAGTTTTAGCCATAATCCTACACTAATTAACCGCGATAGGTGATTGTGATGCTGCAAATTCTTGAAATTAGCCATATGGTCGTTGAACTTCCCTAAAAGCTTTTGGGACGGGAGATTGATCGATCCGACACTCATACATTTTTTGGGTCACCCTATACGATCTTCGTACGATGTTCTTGCGGCTCCGGGTCAGGAGCACCGCGCGCGGAGGCCTCTCGCCGCGCCCAAATTTTGAGCCTTACAAAAACTCTCCGGTGCTAAGGGGGGGGGGTGGCTGCAGATACATGGCTCGATGCCATAAGAAACATTGCGGCAAAAACTCTTCGGTGTTAAAGTGGCACAGCGCCAAAGTAGGGGGGGGGGGGAGTGGGGGTGGCGGCAGATACATGACTCGATGCCTTAAGTAACATTGCGGCAGGAGTACTGACGGGAGCTGAGGCCTGTACTGCTGGACGTCGGCGGCGTTGCTTCGCGAAAAATCGTGACTTCTGTCCCGTACCCTGTTCTTGCAATGCCCACAATGCGTATAAATAACAGTGTGCCTCTATGGCCATTTTTTTGATCACAGGTCGCAACCAGCAAGTTTGACACTAGGTGTTGCATGTCTTGCTTGTATGATTTCGGTCAGGAAAAAATGAGAAAAGTTTAATTCCTATTTGTGTTAAGACGGACTTCTTTGTTTTTCCAAAAGAGCTCTAGCATTGTGGCTTTGAAAGCAATACCACTCCATTTTTAGGTGTATAAGCCGCGCCCTTTTGGCTCTAAATGCGAGCAGACCCAGGCGTGCCGATGCGCATGTGTCTCGCAAAGCGGTCGCTTTTTCGCACATCGCTCTCACTTAACGCGCCCCATGGTAACAACCAGTTTTTTGGCGTGTTCGCCTTTAGAGCGAACAGAGTGCGGCTTATACACCTGAAAATAGGGTATTTAGGATTTTACGCTACTGCTACCTCGCAGCATGAACAAAATCAGTAAATCTTGCTATTTGTTAAGACAGTCTTTTCTCTTGGGTTGAGGGCACCGAAGCGATGTTTTGTCCAGATTAAAACGCAACTGAAGTTTGATTATAATTATAATTAGTCATAATCCTTTTCCTTTGAATAAGCAAAGCATAGGGGAGGAAAGATTTGCCGCGTGCTGGTGCCATCTGCAGGGTGGCCGCTGGAGGTTGCTGCAAAGTTCGCCTCCGCAGCAGCACTCTACGTAATAGTCTTAACACGTAACGTACCGGCAACTTCCTTCCTCCACTTCTTCTGGCGCGACAATAGCGAGACTTCTAATCAAGCCGTTGCAACCCCGCTACGAAAGGTGAATAGTAAAGCAGTCTGTTCCGTCCATCAGCGGGTGGTCCAAAACTAATGGATTGTAAATTGGGGTGAGGGAACTTATCTACCCAAAGCATTTGCCGCAGCCTAGTTATAGAGGTCGTGAGTTGTCAGCAACGCCAATTAGTACCTAATAGCACCGTATGCAGAGACAGTCTGTGCAATCAGCACTCTCATCCGGGAACATGAAACTAAATTTTTAATGGAATTTCCAATTGAAAGTTCAGTTGCAGTAGTCCAATTGAAGTAAAATGTATTTAACTTTCAAAGCACGCTGCCTGCGAATATGCTAATGGTTTTGCTCATACTTCCAAATTTATTCCCTTCTTGTAAGATAAACTTTTTTACGACCTCAGTGTAAATTTGAAAAACCTAAAAACCTTTGAATATCAGCTTTTCAAGTTTACAGTGAAGACGTAAAAGACTTTATAAAACAAAAAGGGAGAAAATCTGGAAGTAAGCATTTTAGCATCATTAGCATTTTTGGAAAGAGCGTGCTCAAAACCCTCTAAATACAGTTTTCACTTCAATCAGACATAAGTTGCTACTGAACCTTTTATTTCGAAATTTCATTGAAAATCACTTTCATGTGTTCCCGGGTTAGGATGAGGGTGTCAAATGCACAGATTGGCTTTGCATACCGTGCTGATTAGGTGCTAATTGGCGTTGCTGACAACTCATGACCTCTATAACTACGCTGCGACAAGTGCTTTGGGTAGATAAGTTCCGTTCCCCCCCCCCCTCCCAGATGTGCCAAGCAGGGTCAAGCGCGTGATGCGACTGTCGCAACGGGAGATCGAAAGGGGGCATCCACGCTAGGGGGCGGAGATGGTTAGAAGGGGGGGGGGGATTTGGACAAAAACCT